TGCCACGGCCCCAGCGAGCGCAACCTCTGCCTGGTCTACGGCTCGAACTCGACGTACCCGCAGACCCCGGTGAAACTGCGGCCCTATTGCATCAGCCGTCTCAGCTCTAGTGGCCCCACTACTACGGTCCAGAACGCCTGCTGCGGCAGTTACCTTTTCCACTCCAACTCCCCGCAGGTAAGCTACCGCATCCACACGCCGACCCGCTTCCTCCTCCGCAGCTCCACCACCCAACACAACATCCACAACTTCTCCCCGACCGGCAGCATCTTCATCAAACAGACACGAACCAAAAGCATCCGCGGCTCCTCAAGGACAAACCGGTCTTTCCAAACAACCGCAGCTCCAACCTCTAAAACTTTCCCCCCTGACCTAGTTCTCTCTTTCTCTCCCTCTTCAACTCCAACAAACTTTCTTTCCCCCCCTTGTTCCTCCTCCTCCTCCTCGTTTACGACTACATTTCCTTCTCTCCTGGGCCGGCGGCCTGCCCGACTGGTCCTCCTCCGGCCGCGACGACGACGCAGATAAGGATCATCATCCCTACGCCGCGTACTTTCTCTCGCTCCAGCTCCAGGACTACGCCGGCGGGTGCAACGAGACCGACGACGGCAGCGGCGGCGGCGGCATCGAGTACCTGTACGACGAGCGGACGACCGGCTGGCAGGACATTGACGTCAAGGGATGCGCCAAGAGGGCCGCCCCGGGAGAATACCCTCCCCTTCCGCCTCCTCCTTCGGGAACTTCTCAGCCCACGCAGAGCGAGCCATCGGCGGCGTCTCCTACCACCACCACCACCACTACCGCCACTGACGGGAGCGGAGGCCAACCGACGGAGACGGGCGATCAGAGTCCGGATCCCTCCGAGACCGGCGCCGGCGACGACAGCGGCAATGCGGCTCTGCCGAGCGGGAGACCATCTTCGCCGCTGGCCGCTGTGATGTTCCTTCTTTGGCTTCTCGCTGTTTGAGAAAAAGGGGGTGACGGAAGGGGAGGGGGGAGTAGAGGGCTAGGACAAGACGCAAGGTTGAAAGCACACCGCAACCGTGTTCGAGTTTATTCGGATCATGGTTTGCCTGCAAAGATAATTAGCTCGATATTCACCAAAGGAGACATCGGTGCTCAAAATGCCACAAGGCCCAACGCTTTGTCTCACACTCAGTAGTAATGATAATTGCTTGATACACTTCGCTCAAAGCTCATCTTCTTCACCTCACGACGATGCAGGAACTCGGGTTTCGCTGAATGCAAAAATACATGACCGCTCTGCTGCGGCAGCCATTGCTGTTATTTTCATAGGCAAATGCTCGCTTATGCTTCCAACATTCCATAACGCTGTCTCTCAAGCAGGCAAGCTAAGATACTAACACAGTGAAGTGAAATGCAACTAATAGTACAGTATATGTCCCCCCTCTCCTTCACCAGCATTAAAATCGACGCGACTGCTTTCAGTAATAGAAGAAAAGTCCAAGTAGGAGGTATCAAAGTCGGCCGGTAGCCGAGGCACAAATGAGACGGATAATGATTGGAGTGAAAAGAAAAACAAAAAAGGAATTAGAATAAGGGTTTCGACATCTCCGAGGCGGGTCCGCAGTCTCCCTCCCCCTTTTCGCCCTTCTCCAAGCAAAGGGAAAAAGGATCGGTATGATGTAAAGCAACGTTCAGGGCCGCAGAGTCTCGTCACCGTCTTCGTCGCTGAGGTCCATGTCGCCATCACTCAGCTCGCCTCTGGCCGCCCGTTGAGCCAAGTCTCGCTCCTTATAAATCTCCCGCCTCCGGGCCTCTGCCTGTTGCAGGGTGTCAACGTAAGTTCGAAACTTGACAATCTCCCTAAGCAAGTATGCGCTCTTGCGCTCCCAGTTTGCCATAGCTTTGTTCGCGTTGCTGCCCCTGGGGGTAAAGGCAAGAAGCATGGGGCTGCGCAGTTGATTGTGGTTCTGTAAGTCATCCTCAATGCTCTTGACGTATGCCGTGAGAGCCTCCAGCTGCTCCGGTTCGGACAAGTGGCTCGGCCGCATGCTCTGCGTCGGCGGTGCCCATTCGGAAATGGTGATGCGATCACCGGGCAGCTTGCCGCGTCCGCTGGAAGTAAAGGGCCCGGATCCAAGATCGATGCTAGAGGAAGGCATGTTGACGCTCTGCACACTCGGCTGGCGACCATGAGCGGCACGGCTGCCAGGGCGTGAGTTCCGGCCGCCGCTCATGATGGAAGCATTGTCACTGTTGGCGCCAGCGAGCGCACTGTTGATGACGCTGTCGCTCCATCCGTACTCGATGTTGCTTATGCCACCGATCAGCGGATGCGCGCTCAGCCGCGAACTCCAATAGTTGGCCGTGCTGACGAACTCCTTGATGATCTCAGGGGTTCCGACTTGGAACAGGTGAACGGCTCCTGTGGGCAAGCTGAGCGCCCACACGTACGGCCTCGACCGCGAATAGCCAGGAGACGGCAGTGCCGACGCCAGGGTCAGTCGCAAGTTAAACGTGCCCAGATTTACGGCGTTATCCTGCCAATTACCGCCTCCGACGGGGGCGTTGGCCTTGTCGGCGTTCCTCGTGCGGCTCTTTTGCCTTGTCGACTTGGGGGTATTGAACGAGAAGATACTCATCTGACCCCTCTGAATGACGGCAAAGACTTCGGTCCAGTTTCTATCCTTTGCCCTCTTGCCGACACCATCCAGGTGATGCTTATGCATGACTCGACCTTCTTTTATCCACGGAGGGCCAGCCAGTTCTAGGGATTCGTCGTCCAGCAATCCCGTGGCAGGTACATCGGCACTCATGACAGACGCGCCATCATTGAGGTTTGCATCGTCAGAACGAACGATGGCTTGGCTAAGAGCGTTTGCAAACCCGATGGATTGCTGATAGTCCCCTCGGGGCATTGCCGAGCCAAACGAATCTTGAGACATGGAGCCCTGGGTCCGCCCCAGGGAGTAGCGACTCCAGGTGGCAGAGGACATGGCTGGGCTCCACAGGGAATTGGTGTCGTCGAAGCTCGTCCGGCTGGAGTTGAAGCCCTGGCGCCCGAGCCCGGTTCGTGAGCGGCTTTTGGACGCCCATCGTGAGCTGCCATTGCGGCTATTATCTGCGAGCCGGCCTCGCGTCGACATTTGGCTTTCCGACGGTGCCTTGCTCAAGACGCTAGGGCTTCTCTTGAGCATGCCCATGACGGACAAATTGCTCTGTGACGGCATGGTATGGAGGTGCTTCTCTGGTTCGGCGCCAAACAAGGGCAGCTTATCTTCTTTAATGGAGTTGTAGATGCTCTTCAAGACGATTTCAATCTGCTCCTCCCAAGCCTTCATTGAGCCGTAAAAAGAAGACTTGACAAGTGGCCCACACTCGTCGTGGGCATCCACCATCTGGGTATCGATGCGAGGTGGTGGTCGGAATGAGTTGCGGAAAGACTTCTTCTCTTGCGGCTCGGATGCCGCCCGTCCCGCCTCATGAAGCACGGAGCCCCTCTCAGGCAAGATGCTGGGGCGGTCAAATGCATCGGGAACAGACTCTTCCACGGCCTGGGTGATTGTCGTCAGAGTGTTCTTCACAAATTGGCTACGGGTCATCTTCTGCTCGATATCGGCGAGATGCAGGTCCGTGTTGAGCAGCATGATGGAGTAGCATATGGTGTGGATGACGTCTGGAAGATATTAGAACTGAAAACCCTTTGCTCTGAAGGGGGGGAAGGGGAGAGGTGTAACTGACCAGTTGCCTTGAAGCCGTGGTTAGGATTGCAATCGCACCAACGCTTGGAAAATGCCACGAGGATGCGATCGACTTGCTGTGTCTCACCGCGCAGGATCAAGCGGCCGCACACTTTGCGCAGTGCGTTGAGGATGCTCAGGTCGGTAAAGTCATACAGCTCGATGTATGCCTGCAGGGTGCGCTGTCGGATGGGGCCCTCCTCACCCATCCAAGAGGCAGCCTTCTCCTTGGGGATGAAGTCCTCACAGCCGTCGAATATCTGCTGCGCCTTCTGTCGCTCGTCCTCGGTGGGCTCGCCAATGACGAATTCGGGTTCGTCCAAGTCTCGGTTCTTGAGCAGGTCCAGCGTTCCCGGACCCCTGGCACTTGACTCGCTCGATCGTTCGACGCGGACGCTGGGAGCCGCACTGGGGGCGGTCTTGTAATCTCCGTCGTCGGTCGATGCCGAGGCATAGGATGTCGAACGGCGTTCAGTCATAGGGCGAGTCATGTTGGGACGAAGAGGTTCATCGCCAAACCTCTCTTGATCGGTGATATGCGGAGACTTCTTGGCGCGTAGAGTACCACCGGTATCTTTGCTCTTGTATGCGGTAGGAGAAGCTAATCGTCCGTCGTTTTCCTTGTCAGCCCGCTGGCGAACAGGGGGCTCTTCGTTGTCACTGCCTCCGTCGAGGTCCAGGAAGGAATTGTTCCTGTGCTCGAGCTTGTTGGGGGCTCGACCCGGCTTGTCATGCGCCAGTTGATCTTGCTCCGAGTCCGAGTTCTGGACTAATCGGATCCTCGCGTTCGGGCTCAGCTCGTAGTCGGGGGAGAATTCTCGCTGGATGTCCGCTCTATAGTCATCGTCGTCATCTTCCACTCTGGCGGCTGCCTTGTTGGTGATATCGCCAAGAGGTTGCGAGAGCACGGCACTCTCTTTCAGGTAGGGGGTCATGATTTGCCTCAGGCTACCAGCAGGGCTGTCCGTGGTCCGATCACAGTCGGGATGAAGGCTTCCATTCGCATCAGCGAGAGAGGGAACAGGAGGCACATCGGAGGGCAGCGGTGGCGCCTCGTCGGCAACCGACTTCTTCCGGCGGCGGAAGAAGGACGAGGACTTTTTCTGCAGCACCGGCTGCGTCTGCTGCGGTTGCGGCGGAACGTCCTTGGGGGCAGGCGCAACTACGTTGCTCACTTGGCTGGTGAGGCGCGACGTCAACGTCTCTGCAGGGGCGGGTGTGGTACTCTTGGAGGAACCAAAGACACGTCTGAAGAAGCCGTGCTTCTCCTTGGGCTGGGCAAGTCCGCCGGCAGACTGGGAGGCGGCGAGCTGCTCGGTCTTTGACTTGCCGTAGCTGACGCTGGGCGCCGGGGCGGCATCGAAGTCGCTCAAGGCCATGGCAGGTGCTACCAATTGGTGGTTTGCTGGTCGGCTGGTGTATCCCGAGGCGGCGTCGACGGGATCCAAGGCCAAGCTGGACGAAAGTCGATGTGGAACGGGGAGACCAAGGGCGCATTGAGCTGCGTTTGCGCCTGCAGCGGCCCGAGATCAAAGCTCGCCGAGCGCCTGAAGCCGGTGCGATCCCAGCTGGCAGGTCCAGCAATGTTCTGGGGGTAGCCCGCGTCGTAGCTGACGCTGCTGGTGCTGCTGCCGGTGTTGGCTCGAGGTCGCGCGCGCTGGATGGGAGAATCGGCGGCGGCGGGGGGCTTGGGAAAGGATGCTTGAAAAGTCGAGCTGCTGTTGCTCCTGCGACGGTTGGGGCTGCGGCTCCGGGCTCTGGGCAGCTGGACCGAGGTCCGGGTCGAGTCGTCGTCGTAGTCGGAGCTGTACGAGTAGTGGTGGCGCGACGGCTGCGGGTGCCGGAAGGAGGAGGAGGAGGGCGAAGAGACTGAGGGCCGGAAGCCGTGGGAGAAGCTGCCGGTGATGGAGTCGTGGGCCCAGGGCCGCGGGTCGTCGTAGGTCAGGGCCTTGCCCGTAAAGGAGCGGGTGGTGGATGATGAGGTGGTGTGTCCCAATGAAAACTGGTCGAGGGACAGCAGCATGTTATTCACCAGCGAGTCCCGGGTGACGTTGCGTGGGGACAGCGAGAGGTCGTGAGAGTCGCGGACTCTGCCTCTAGACGCGTGTTGGTCGGCCATGGCGGGTTCGATTGGCGTCGGGTCATCCAGAAACGAAGCATTGACGTTGCGGGTCACAGTCGCCGTCAGCGTCGGGGACGTGCTCAGCTGCAGCTGCGAGTGCGACTCTGGCCTTTGGGCGTTTGGATCGGTGGAAATGAGTGGCTTGGCCGGAGGGCTAGTGGTGGTTGAGGGCGGAACCTCGCTCCTGGGCCGCGACGCAAGGGACATGGACGTGACGAGGCTCAATTTGGGAGCGAGAGCCTTGTGCCTCTGCTCTGCCTGCGCCTGTGGGGGCATTTTGCACGCCGCTTTGATTTGATGGCGCTTGATCTGCTCCGCCCCCGTCAGTCGAGGTTTGGGGGTTTTGGCCGAGCCAGGGGGGCCGGTTGGGCGGGCTGGCTGGGTGCGGTGCCTGGTGAGTGGCCAGCCGTTTGCCGTGATGGTATGGGCGGTCGCACAGCCGATCCGAGAGGGCGATTCGAGGCCGATCGGACGGTGTACAGTGTCGGTCGGGGGAGAGGAGAAGGGGGAGGAGAGCGAAGATTGAGATTGATGTGCTGCGGATCGTGTTGTTTCATCTTTTGGGGAGGGACGAAAAAAGGTCATTATCGTGCCGGTATGTACCTGTACCTGTGCCTGGATTCGTACCTTGCCTGTTCCCGTCCCTGAGTGTTACAAGTAAGGTACTGTACCTTATTTGGTAACTCTAAGCTCATGGCGCGGGTTATTACCGTCTGGTCCCTTGTCCCTCCGCGGCCAAATGCTTTGGTGCTTTAATGCCCATTGTATTACAGGTATACTTGGTATAGTAATACTAGGTACCTGTATTGGATGGTCTTCCGTCTCGATAATTCAGAAAAAATCTCACTGTTACTCCAACGGTCGAGACAACGGCAAATGAGCACCAGACAAACAAGACAACAACAAAGAAGCAAGGGGGCCCTTTGTGTCTCGCCCCGGCGGCCCACGAACAGAGGGGCCGCTCTGCAGCGAGCTTCTGCACCACCGCTGTGCCGCGTCCACTAGCACGCTGCTGTCGAAGTGGGCTCAGCTGCTGTGCTGCTGCTCTGCTCTGCATGTGCTCCAGCTCAATCCACGCTTCCCCCTGGAAATCCCGTCTGGTCCCCCTGCGCAGAATTGAAGCTGTGGGCACATGAAACGCTACCTCCAGCTTCCCGGCCGTCCAGGTACCGGTACCTGTTTCAGATCCACCGCTGTGACAGATGCAGTCGGGCGGTGGCACGTGTCTCGGTCTGCAGCAGGACCCTCGGAGATGCAGGCAAGGGGGAGGGACTGAGGATATCAGATCACGATGAACTGCATGTACAACTACCTTACCTACCGACTTTCTACGGATACATGCGGATTAAGGTGGTTACTCCAAGACAATACATACAAGCATGGCACAGACTCAAGTCACTGCTGTCCACTTGCAGTATTACACAAGGCTCGCAAAAGCCCTTTGAAACACATACGCACCGACAAATGACGCTGCGCCAGGGCACGGCTCCGTGTGTGTGTGCCGTTGAAAGAGGAAGCCATTCATTCGTCTCTTTGTTTGCATCGTACGAGCGCACTGCACCAGTAGTAGAGAAGAATACGACCGTCTTCAGCACAGAGGAGTCTGGAGATGGCAATGTCGGAAACTAAATAAACAACGGTACCTTGCGGATAAAGTAGTTCATGTAAGGGTAAAGTCGTACCCTATTTGGTGGGCGGTGATGGCTTCATATCCTCCCACCCTCATTGGCCGGTCCTTTTCCCACCGCGCCGTCTCGTCCGCTAGAGAAGCGAGGCGCCTGCAACGGATCGACCAAAGACGGCACAACAACAAGAAGTCTACATCCTTGCTTGTACTCAATACGTTGGAGAGACAATTTGCCACTTGTATTGTGATGCAACACCACCCATCCACTGTCCGAATATCAACCTACCCTGTAAGCGCCGCATTGTTGGTCGCGTTTGCGCAGCCAACCACAGGCAGCCATGGCACGCACTGCGAGTGTGCCTCTGCCGGCAGATTTGGTCAATTGCATTCCCCGAACCTTCTTTTTGCTCAAGGCTTCTGATGGATTGCAATCAAGCATGACAATGAGGGCAGAGTCGTATTGAATGGGCCAACTGCAAACTATCGAAGCCGAAAAAGCCGGCTACGAGTAGCTCTCGACAGGGGAGCCATATGGCCATACTAGCGGGAAAGAACTCAAAAGAACCGACATCCCCTGATGCTTGTTGACTCGTGGCCTCACGTTCGCCCCATACCGGTTGAAGGCTAAGGAAAGACTACAATCATTCTAGAACGTGGTGAATGGGCCCTTTACCCGCTTCCATGATCTCTTCGTCATGTATCCACTCAACGGCTGCAGCATCTCCGAAGCTTCGGCTTACACGCTTACCATTCGCCGTTGTTGTTTGCATTGGACATGTGAATGATACTCTTACAACAAATACAGACTGTGTCTTCACCACATTCTAGAATGATCGTAGTCTTTTCTTTATAGGTGATAGATCCAAGGACTGTAGAGCGAGTAGTCCAGGCTAATGCTCACTCAGCACGCGTAAACCTTCTGTTTGAAATCTGACAACTCCACGTCAGCTGGCTGCAAAAGCAAAATCATGTATACAAACTCATCGTCTTCTCGTCTTCTCAATCAACATCCAATGAGCCCCAAAGAGTCACCCGAAGCCATTGATTTCAAGCCGTCGATAACATGACCGAGGAAACCTTGCAGTTTGCGCCGATTCTCCATACACAGAGACTCACCCTCACCCTCATCGACTTCAGCAAGCCCTCCGACGAGCAAACCTTCATCACAATGCTCAAAACCATGGTTGGCGACCTCCTCGACCTCACGGACCAAGAAGCCACGCAAAACGCCCAAGCCTCCCTGGCCTTCTACCGCTCCCGCGGCCGCATCCAGCCCGCCATCCTCCGCGGCCGCAAGACCGACCAGCCCGCCATCTGGCTCGTCCGCCTCGGCGGCGGCGGCGCAGACTCCTCCTCCTCCTCCTCGGGCCCGCAGCAGCACGACGGCCAATGCATCGGCGTCGTCTACGTCGTCCAGCGGAGCCTCATGCCCGACCAGTCCTGGATCCTGCTCCCCGAGCACCGCGGCAGGGGCTACGCCACCGAGGCCGCCGCGGAGGTCCTGCGCTACTTCCGCGACGACCTGGGCGTCCGCGACATGATGGCCATTGTGCACCCGGACAGCCCCAAGAGCCCGCGCGTGGCCGGCCGGCTGGGCTACGTGCCCGTCGAGGGCGGCGTCATGTACGAGGACGGCGTGACGAGGCTGCTGCTGTATGTCTTGCCTTCTGCTAGACCGCTCCCAAAGGGCTTGGTGTTTCGAAGGTTTGGGGACCCGGAATAGGAATGTCAACTTGATGCGGAGGTGCCTTGAGCCTGTAGGCAACTGATGATGGTAAGACGAGTAAGGGGGGTGGCGCGCTGATGAACGTTGTCAGTGAAACAGCTGCCCGGACGATGTACATGTAATCTCGATATGACAAGGTAAACATGGAACTTGTGAAAGAAGAACGATTGAGTAATTGGAGTCGACTATCAAGAATTGCATACTACATGTTGTGGTATGTCAAGAGCTGTTGATGATGGACATGAAAGATCATGTAAGTGAGCATTGCAGAGAAAACGGCCCACTCCATCTTCGAGGCTAGCTTCATGTAGCCAAATCCGCCTAATCCATCCATCAGCAAATGGGCGGATGGTTTAGTGGTATAATTTTCCCTTAGCATAATTTGACCTTCGAGTCAGAGATGATCGCTTGGGAAAGGTCCGGGGTTCGATTCCCCGTTCGTCCATAACTGTTCTTTTTGACCTCTTTTTTTGCCTCACTTACACGGACGGACATGGACAAAGGCATCTGTCTACAAGACCAGTCTGTCCTCGCTCGCTCATCAATTCTTGGGCACGATTATTTTGCTGCTGCTCACTAGGTAGTATAAAGTGCTCACCATCCGATTCAGCTGATCCATGTACAAAGCAGTCATTCATTCATTCAATCATTACGATATAATTACCACCTTGCCCTACATAGCTGCCCATCTTCGTTCATTGCGACTTCATCCCGCTTAGCGTTCATTATCCCATCAACCGCAGCTTTTCCTCTCAAATGATACCGGCAATCACAGCCATGACTCCCCCATAAACCCCCGCGCAGAGAACCCAGTCCAGCGTGCTCCTTTCTTCCGCCACAAGAGCAAACAGTCCGGACTGAAGCAACGCAGCAGCTCCCCCAAGACCCACCAGAAGGACGACCGTCATACGGCCGATGAATCCCGGGATCACGGAGAAGCAGATGATGGGGGCCAGCACGATCATCGCCATGGCCAGGGCGAGGCCCTTGACCGAAGGCGGCGCGGTGTTTAGGCCTGGGTAGAGCGAGCTGCCGGCATTGGAAATTTGGCTGCTCGGCGGTGGAGGGAACCCGACTACGCTGGATGACCGGGGCATTGGGCTGAGAGGATCATCCTGCGCGTTCCCATTAGAGCGTCGTCTGCGCCGCACGAGGTTGATGAGGTCGTCTGTGGCATCTAGAAACTGGCATTCGACCTCTACGAGAGGGTTGATGTCTTGGAGGTAGGCCTTGTAGTCGAACACATCTTTGATGCTCGGTTCCGCCATGGCGTGAGTTGCGCTAAACGAAGTCATGACTTGATCTGCTCTCCGATTAGGCATTAGTCTGGGGAGACAAGGTAAGAAGAATACCCACTGTATTGATACAGCTTATGAGCAAGGTGAGTTATGATTTCCTTCTTCTTCCAGGTCGCGTCGGTTGGGTTCATGTTTTCTTGCCGCCGAGATGCTGGGTATATGCCTCGCGGAAACTTTCTGTTCTCCGTGTCCATGGCGTCGAGGTTATGCAGCTGCTCTTCCATCTCAATGATCTCATCCTGCATGTGCAAGAGTAGCCGGTGGTGAAGAGCTTCGAACCGCCGGTAGATGGGTGCCAGTCTTGGGCCGGCCATGTTTCCCGATAGCTTGGCTGCCAGGAGCTCATAACCACTGAGCGGGGGTCCGTTGGGCTGATGATTCGGCGGAGGCGGCGGTGGCCTCATTGGGGGAAATGAAGCTTGCATGGGCGACGGGATAAAAACGGGCGGCGGATCAGGGACAGCAAATGGCCTTTCTGGTGAGCCGTATCCGTTGGGAAAGTTTCCTGGAACGGTCTGAATGGGTGGGAAGCGAGGGTGACCGCCGTCATTCATGGGTGATTCATTTGGCATAGGGGGCCTTCCATTGAATGGATGATGGTAAGCTGGCCCTATTGAAGCATATCAGTCTCACATCGATAGTTTTTGGGAAACTCTCATGGGCCACTCACCTCTCGGTGGATCTTGAGGACCCTGCACTCCATAGTCCAAGGGGTTGGACAATCGAGAAGGACTGTCATGTCTTTTTGTGCTCGGGCGCCTGTGGTGCTTCCTCGCTCTGTCCTTGGCGCGAGCATTCGCAGTGTCTTCCTCGAAAGGAGGTTCATCCTCTCTGTCGATATTTGCTGAGGATGCTGCTTCCGCCACTGCAGCGATGGGCGGATGGCTGGCTCCAGAAGAGGCGGATTGGGCAAACGGCTGTGAGAAGACCGTTTCGGACGACCTCCTCTCCCCGTGAAAGCTAAGTCTTCCTGCACTGTTTGCTGGAGGCCGTCTCTGCTGCGTTGACGACGAAGGAAACGATGAGCCGGAGGACCTCGGGTGTTCTCCCGCAAGCATGTTTTCATCGATGCTGGCATGGCGGGTGTGTGTTGCATTTCCTTTGCCCTTGTTCGCCCTGGACGGACCGGGGGCTACTCCATCATTCTCGACGGGCATGTCGTTGATATTGTCAGTCAATGGGGGTGTTATCGTCACTTATATCGTTGGAAATTCCGATGACGCCACTAGATCTAGCGATAGGACTCGCAACGCCGCGGGGCAGCAGTGTGAAGAAAATAATCCTTCCGCCTGTTTGCGGTGCAGATGTGAGTCCCAATGAAGCGGAAGACACGAGATGGCGAGGAAGATGAAGTCGTATGAATTGTGATACTCGAACCCAGTGCTGGGCAATGAGATTTTGGGAATCGAGTCCCCCACAGTTCGATGCGAGAGAGATGATGGCTCTCCTGGAGATGCCGAAGGATTGCGGGACACATACACCCACACGCAAACGCGCGCGTATCTCTGGTTAGTAAAATATCGTCCAGATGTGCTTCCCTTGACGATGGAGACACTTCTTGAACAGTGGCGGCTAAAATGAAGCACTCGCAGGGCCAGCTTCGTGTCTACCAAGCGCAGTCACGACGGCAGGTATACTGCGGTATGAGTTGTGCAAGCGTGGCAATGAGCAATGGTCAAGGAGAGAGGAAACCAAGGAGAAAACCCAAGCTCCTGGCTTGTTGGGGGCCAGCTTCTGTAAAATACCGGGCAGAGGGCAACGCAAAGAAGCGCTGCTAGCCCCCCATCATGCGTACAATCTTCACACACTCTGTGCCAGCTCAAGCCAGACCGAGCCGGGATTGGCTGCCTCGGATCGGGGGGTATGGCAAGATAGGGCACATGGCCTGGCTGGGGAAAGCCCTGAGGCAGACCCGGCCGCTGTTGGCCTCTGTGGTTCGCCAGGGCCATTGCGAAGGCCTTGCGTCGTCGACTGCAGAGCGTCTTTGCTCATCAGAGACAAACCGCGGGCGTTGTGCAACGGAGGCTTTCTGTGCCGGGAGGCCTGGTGTCTTGCTGGCTGGTGTGAGCGGGGTTGAGAGAGTCAGTTGGTGAGCCGGGGATTTGGATTCCCCATGCTGGTTTCCCCTCTGTAAAGGACATCTTTTTCTTGCTTGTAGAATCTCAAGAAAACAAGGAAAGACGGGGGAAATAACGGAAGATGGATGGATATAAGGTCATGATCTTGAAGTTGTTCATTGGACAAAGCGCCCCGTTAAAGCTATCGATACAGTGGCTGCAGGTGGGTTCCGACCTGTCGGGTTTTCTAGCGGGCCGGCTCGTGGCCTCACTGCATGCAATTTGATCTCCATCTCTCAACTGCCTTACCGCCTTGATCTCAGCTCCACCTCACCTGATGGGCGGCAGAAGCGACGGCTTGAAGTTTGCAACGCACCGGATTTGCGAGAGGCCGGAAACAGGACGACGTGGCGGTGCGTGCGGACAAGGCAGGCAACCCGTGGCACGCCTGAGGCTGGCGTCGTGGTTGTCAGGCGACAGGCCGGTGGCATCAAGCACGGAGCACGCATTGCATCTGCCATTGGCTTCCGCAGGATGAGTCGCAGGTCGTTTGGCGAGCTCAGCAGTTATCTGCTCGAGGGCCGTCTCTCACAGCGCGGATGCATCAATGGCCGGCGCCTCTCATCGCGGACGGTGCCTATCTGGTCCTCTCTGCGGCCGCCATACGCCTTGCGGCATCTCCATACACAGCCTGGAACAGCGACGACAGCTACACAGACGGCGTCACAGGCCCTCCACGTTCCCCTAAGGAAGCAGCTCAAGGAGCAGGCCAAGCAGGCCAAAAAGCAGGGCAAGAAGAAGGCGAAGGGCGACTCCCAAACCGCAGATGGCTGGGAGCTGACGGTTGGCATCGAGATCCATGCTCAGCTCAATACCTCCCGCAAGCTGTTCTCGCCGGCCGCAACGTCCTTCAACGACGACCCAAACAGCCACGTGGCGCTCTTCGACGTTGCAATGCCAGGCAGCCAGCCGTTGTTTCAAAAAGAGACATTGATCCCGGCCATTCGGGCAGCACTGGCCCTCAACTGCGAGATACAGCCCGTCAGCCGGTTCGACAGGAAGCATTACTTTTGGTGGGACCAGCCTTCGGGCTATCAGATTACGCAATTCTACGAGCCGTTTGCTAAAAAGGGACACATCACACTGCTTGCTCGCGATGGCATCGCGGCGGAGGACGGGGAGAGTGTCACCGTCGGCATCAAACAAGTGCAGCTCGAGCAGGACACGGCCAAGACGCTCGCACAAGCGGGCAGCGTCCACTGGCTCGACTTTAACCGGGTGGGCGTGCCCTTGATTGAGATAATCACCGAGCCCGAGATTCATCACCCTCGCACGGCTGCCGTACTAGTGCGCAAGATCCAGCTGCTGCTCAACACGGTCGACTCGTGCGTGTCCGGCATGGAGACGGGCGGGCTCAGAGCGGATGTCAACGTATCTGTACGGAGGACCGACGACCCCAGCAAGAAGCTTGGGACGCGTACGGAGATCAAGAACCTGAGTACAATCAAGGCCGTGGAGGACGCCATCATTGCCGAGCGCGATCGCCAAATCCAACAGCTGGAAGCAGGGGGCGTGATTGCTGGCGAGACGCGAGGCTGGACGGTTGGCTCCAAGGAGACCCGCCGCCTGCGCGGTAAGGAGGGCGAGGTTGACTATCGCTACATGCCTGACCCTGACCTGGCGCCGCTCGTCATCGGGAACGACCTTGTGCAACATCTGCAGACGTCGCTTGCTGTCCTGCCGGACACGGAGCTGGACAAGCTGGTAGATTACTACGGCCTTACCCCGAAGGATGCTCTTTCGCTCATTACGCTCGACAATGGAGCTCGCGTGCAGTACTTTTACCGTGTCCTGGCCTTGCTGGAGAGCAAGCTGCAGGCCGAGCCAGATGTTGCAGAGCTTCCCGAGGTCAAGTCGTATGCGACCTTGGCGGGTAACTGGATCCTCCACGAACTGGGCCGCCTGACGACATACAAGGCCGGCCCGCTGGCCTCGGGAGATTTGTCATTCACTCAGCTCGGCGAGTGTGCTCAGGTGCCCGAGGATGACTTGTCGCAGATTCTCTACCACCTTTACCGCAAGCACATCACCGGCAAAGTAGCAAAGGAGCTTCTCATGGCGGTGTACTTGGGCGAGCTGGATGGAGGTGTTCTGGAAGCCATTGAGAGCAACGACTTGTGGTTCAAGGAGATTTCGCAGCAGGAGTACGAAGCCCTTGCGGCTGCGGCTGCCGAGGGCGAAGACAAGATGCTGGAGGAGTTTGCCGACGAGGACAAGTATCCCCGAGGAAAGCTCATGTATCTTGTTGGCAAGATGATGCGGCTTGGGCCTACTGAGAGGATTGATCCTGCCATGGCGGAGAAGGCCATGAAGCTATGGATCGAGAGACATCACGGGAGGGCGGAGGCAGCGTAGCTTGTATGTATATCTACCGAAATGAAGAAAACGCCGTTACTTGTGACAATTTGGTATAGGTTTATCACGCGGTATCATGGCGTATACACACCGTTTAGCATCCCACAGAGCCATCAATCTTCAATCCATTGCTAGCTAGCTAGATCTATTCAAAACAATTGCTGGCCACCCAGATCTCTTCAAACAACTGCGAGCTTCCCAGATCGATCTCTATCAATGATGAACATCGTTCCTCAGCCATGACCAACCCCACCAAAGCAAATCGCAAATCATCTAAACCAGAACCAGGTCCATGACAAGCTCAACGCCCTTACATCAGTCAAAAAGATATCAATTTAATCATTGACATAAAATAAACAAACATAAAAAAACAAATAATAAATAACCTATACTGTAGCAAGTTATACCAACAGCCGTCAATCGCATCTGGCGTCATCATTGCGCCGCTCGCCATCGTCAAATGTGGAGGCCAACTCCCACACCAGCCCGATGACATCACCACCAGTGCCACCCGCGCCTGCACATCTCACAGCTTTTTGTCTGTTCTTGCCCAGTTTTCCGCTTTTACTGCTCATCACATCACATGCTATCATAGGTTACCTCATATATATTAGTTATTCTTCTGTTTCCATCTCTCTTTCTGTAACACAAATCTTTTCCCCTCTTCAATTCCAAGCCAATTCTAAACCAAAAGCTCTCTCTTCAATTCTTCATCCTCCGAATCACAACAACCACAAACACAACAACAACAACAACAACAACACACACATAACAAACAACCACCATGTCTTTCCTCACTCGCTCCGTCCCCAAAACCACCTCCCTCGCGGCCCCCATCTCCCGAATCGCCGCAGTCCGCTCAACACGCCCCTTCACCACCTCCCGCCCTGCTCAGAAGATCGTCCCCGAGACCGTCAAAGATGGCCTCCACAAAGTCGACAGGGCCGTCAGCGATAAGCTCGTTGACGGAATCAACATGGCCAGTACGTTGAAAAACTTTCTCATCCCAACCTACAACTTTTTTTTTTTCCTACTTTGTGTATGTTGATTTTCAAAAGCTTGGCTAACATGATATATCTTTCACACAGCCGCCGCCTCACACAAGGTCATGGAAACTGCCGAAGACCTCTCCAGCAGCGGCGTCGCAGAGCAAGTCGAGGGCATGCAGGCCCACGCAAAGGGCAAGGCCCAGGAGATGAAGGGTACAGCCAAGGAAATGAAGGGCACCGCCAAGGGCAAGGCCGAGGAGCTCAAGGGCAAGACGAAGGGTGCTGCCGCCGAGGCAAAGGGCAAGGCCAAGGAGACTGCGGAAGACGTGCAGAGCAATTTGTACGACTGAAGGGACATGACGGTCCGGAAATGAAGTATAATGGAAAAAAAGATTGCATGATTACCCAAAAAGAGGACCATTTATTCATGGGAGATGGAGGATGGAACGCAATCAAATGTAACTCTATACTATAAGTCATTGCGAATTTGATGAGAACCTCTCATTGTAAATTACCAACTACCTTGAACACAAACAAACTATGATGTTATTAGCAGCATTGCGGCATTGGGTATAACGGACATTGTCCAGCCTTGTGATTTTTTTCTTTTTTCCGTCTTTGCTCCTCCTCTTGATGACCCATAGTTCGCTGCCATTACCATTATAACGTCACTCCCACTCCAATCTGAGATAATACAGATGGTACCATAGAAGAATAGGTGGGTATCAAAGCGATAGTATAATCAATCCACACCAGAAACACAGTTTGAGAAATCAACTTCTCTTGAAAAAAGCCCGTCCTCGCTTTACCGCACGTCAATTTCTCCACAACTGTGAGAAACGTGCTGCAGGAGCGGACAAACGGCCGGTTCACAATGCGAGCGACGCGGCATTTAGACACCGTTGTTGGCGGCCCTGGCCTTGGCCTCGGCCCTCTCTCGCCTGACGGAGGGATACGGAATCTCTCCAAGCGGGAACGTGACAAAGGTGGTGTCCTTGAGCATGATGCCCGCCGCGCCGGCATAGAATGCGCACATGGAACAGAAGACGGCAAAGGCACCGCCCGCACGATTCAGCCGAATGGCCGCCGTGTGGTGCTCGGTCGACACGAACTGCGCCACGCTGAGGAAGAAGAAGGAGAGCGCCAGCAGACCCAGGACCAGCAGGATGGTGATGTTGGTCTTGAGCGCCCCGATGAAGAAGATGATGGTCAGGAAGCACCATATAATGAGGAAGATGCCAACGGCAAAGCTAAAGGCGCGCTGGTCTCCCGCATAGGCGGCCTGGATGCCCAGCGTGGGGACGGAGAACATGGCAAAGGCAAGCCAAAAGGCCCCGTATGAGCAGTGTAGCGTGCAACCGAAGGTGTTACCCAGAACGAACTCCATGACGCCGGCGACGAACTGGGCCATGCCTCCAAAGAAGACGGCAACACCGAAGACGGCCTGGTCAGGGCCAACGTTGCCCAACGGATTGGAGCCAGGGAGACTATTGTTGAGTTAGTCGCACTCCTGTTACAAGACAAGAACCAGCCTTGGGCCAGAGCTGAAGCTTACCCAGCACCGCACTGGTACAGTCCGAGTATAAAGGTAGTCAAGGCGAAGCCGAGCAGGCCAAGAGGACCTGGGTTACCAATCTTGCCAAGGGTAGGCTGGTAGACCTGGGAAACCATGGCCTGGTGAGGCCCGGCCCGAGGATCCATGGTGTTGCTGAATGGAATGAATTGGTACCCAGGATACTGCTGGAACTGCTGTGGGAACTGCTGCCCGCCGCCCATCCCATTGGAAGTGTTTCCGTTGGTGGGTGGCACGTTGCCGGCGGTTTCTTTGTTGTATTGCCCCTCGACGGGGTCGGTACCTGGGGTAGCCATGCTGAGAGGATGCTTCAGGCCTTGTATCGATGTAGTCTTGGATAACGATGGGGGGAGTAGACGGGACAAAGGCTACTGACTGCAAGCCTTGGCGGTCGTTATAGAAGAGAGGGAAGAGAAGAAGAGGAGCTCGATCATGGGTCGAGGGCAGTACCTGTCTCGTTTATATGCAACAGGGCATGGCTCCATTGCTCCTCATGCCGTGTCCAATGCATTTTCTCCATCTTGCTTCCCCTCATGTCGGGTTTGTCGGTTCTAGGCTATTTCCGTTCTCCCGAAAGAGTCGTTCAATGTCTGGAGTGGTGATGGAGGGTCGTGATGGAGCATATCCCCCCTCTCGCGCCGCCCCTTTAGGCGAGCGCCTCGATGCCACAGGCCACAGGGCCCCGTCCAAGCAGGCAATGATCAGCTAAGATCGAGTACATACTGCAGCCATCGGAGTCCAAACTTCAACTTCGGTGTTTAGGAATGCCGTCTTATTGCTAGGCTGGCTTGGCTGGCCTGATGGGAGTACAAGTATTGTATGGCATTGACTTTGCTAAACGCCGGATGGGACAATCGAAGCTATCTCAGCCAGGTAGAATGTCAACGATCGTGTGACTTGTGGCCGGACTAGCGGCCGGAACTCTCGGGACACGGTCGAGGGGCGATGATAGTGACGGCCGCGATCGCGCGACTGTCGACAGTTTAACCACTGGTCGGGCTGCGGTGGCAGCAAATCGAATCCCGGACGGAACAGCTCCCCAAGCTCCACCAGAGCTCCGGCAAATCGCTGCGGCTGCAGCAGGGCCTAGTTCGAGAGCTAGGAGTGCCGAGGCGTCGGCAGGGAGGGGGGCAATGGCGGGGGAGCAGCGAGTTGGAGAACCGGCAGAGGAGGTTCGTGGCGCCAATAGCTCGTCCATGCATCTTTTCTGGGTCCGGGGCCCCGCCTCGAAGCATCAAGACGGAGCAGGGATCCGTGGTCCTTGAGCTCATCGTGATGTGCCCGGGTTGACAGCCAATGGCGACGGCATCGAGTCAGACGGTGGCTGATCGAAGCACATGGCCCCAGGCCTCTCTCCATTGGGGGAAGCGTGGCTCCGAGGTCTTAGAGGCGAAGGGCCGACAGAGTTCAATCAAGGAACGTGGATTGAGTCAAACGTCGAAGGACGCGATCAGCTTTCCCTTGTCGGCCATCTGGGGAGGGAGGAGGGGGGGTGGGAGCCGTGACAGCAGCAAAGTAGTCAGCACAGTTGCCGGATTCTGCAGCGAGGCGCCATCCGTACGCGATTCTCTCCAAGTCTAGGACGGTCTGAAGCTGCTTGCCAAGAAGACGTGCGAAAAGTTTAAGCCGGGACTGGCGTTGAGTTTCGAGGGCATCTCACGCACAGGTCGGACAAATGCCCGCAGAGAGCCCGAGTCGCAGCGACACGAGGCTGGGGCCGTTGGTGAGACCGGGAGAATGGAGACGGCATAACATGCAGCCGGTGCTGCGAGGTCAAATGATGGATGACTGTTCATGATGATGGCAGAAGCGGTTTTGCTTGTTCCAATTTGGCTTGTGATTCTTTCTCGCGAGGGCCATCGTGGAGTTTCTGGTCCGCCTGTCTGTCCGCTCTCAAATCACCTGACATCAGGCGGTGGTAGAACTCACAAGTACATGCAGTTTCGTACCTTCTTGAGAACCTCACTTCAAGTTCTTACCTGGTACCTAGTAGTAGGTAGTAATTGAGTAACGTTGAAAGGCAGAATGCTGGATGGATGCATAAAATAAAGGAAACCAACGTTAGGTTTATCAAGTCATATAGTACCTAAGGTAGGTAGTAGATGTAAGGAATCCAGGTACTCGTCAGAGAGGTACCTAGTGCCTGAACAAAGAAGAGACCAATCGGTGCCACTGTAGCAGCCGTTTGCTGGTGTTGCAGCAGCGGATAGTTGCCTGGCCTCGTGAAGGGGTTTCACAGCAACTGTTTCCATAGAGCAGGACACTCGTCCTTCTTTCTTCCAGTAGAATGTCTTGGTCACTCCAGTCTACGCGGATCAACTCAGAAGTTGCTGTCGGGCTGTATTGGACGCCATCTTACCTTGGACACAACTGAGCGGGAAGGGGAAATGAGGCACACACAGACAGGCGCACAAACTCGACGAGAGGCCACGCATGATAGATCCCTTGTACACTCCAGCCCATCTGTTTCATGCCAAAAGCTCATTGACCTGATGTCTCTGAGGCTGTCGATTGTGTTCCCCTATGCTGAGTACCTACCCAATAGTGATGGCCTCCCCTTTTCATCCGCCCGCAACACAGACATCATATCAGCCCAACACTCATATCAAGAAACCAAATCCTCAGATTCGTATCCATAAACCCTCAATGATATTCTCTCTCTACGGCTTTCCCCTTACTTCGTGTCACTCAGTCCCCTCGGCAACGGCCCTCATTCACTCGCCTTCAGCCCTCCTTCTCCAGCCGCCAGCTGGCCACCACCTGGCCGTCACTCGTGATTTCCCATCCAGCAAAGAAAAATAACAGGAAATTCTACTTCCTTCAGCATCTACGACGCGTGTTACTGATTGTTCACCTGGCGAATTGTGGGGCTGCAGTTATTTACCTTGTTCTCGAGTTTCACTTCTCTTCTTCTTCTTCTTCCTCTTCTTCTCCCTCCACCACCATCCCGTATCTTCATTTCTGCGCGCACAGCATCTTCACAACATTTTCAAGGTATTTCAGCTAGCCCGGCTCTTCTTTGATGATGCATGACATCCTCTGATATCACATTGCTTTCTTGTTCTTGCGAGCAGTATCTCAACCCCCCTCCCTGGTCACCATGGCCATCCCAGCCATTCCCCCCAAACCGCATTCACGCGAACCCCAGCATTCGACACGGCTCCGTTCTCACTTCCATTTACCAAATCTTGGCCGTCTCTGCTTTGCTAACATCTGGATGCCAGGCAACCATTATCTTGAATCCATCATCGCCATCATCAGCATTCATCCGCCCATCAGTTATTTACAATGGCCGCACCCAAGATGACCATGGCTTTCGCCAGCCTCGTACTTTCCGGCGTGTTTGCCCACAACACCCAGTGTGAGTCCTCTGTTATCTCGCCGGGTGCCTTCCTATACATTGAATACTGACTGACTTCTTCTGCAGCGGATGGCCAGTCCATTGTGACCGTCGAGACTCAGCAAGCCGGCACCACCACGTCCAACGGTTCGTCCCCTTCTCGGATTCTGCCTCTTCTCCCAAGTCACCAGCTAACTTTGTGCAGGCGTCCTCCTGTATTCCATGAACTACTGCACTGTCTTCCAGACTACTGAGTGCAACATCGGTCTTGCCACTGCTACAGGAGTCGTTCCCGTCGTCTCTGAGCCCGCTTCTGGCTACTCTGCCCCTGTCGACTCGATCACTCCGGCCGTCTCTTCCACCCTCCCTGGCGAGCCCAAGCCAACCATGGTCTGGTCGGATGCCGCTACCGTTGTCACTCAGCCTACTGCCACCGTCTATTCGGTCACGGACAGCATCGGCAGCTCCGCGGAGACCAACTCGGTCCTTGCCGCAACCGGCTCTGAGGTTTCGTCCAGCGGCGCTGCTTCGGCCTCGAGCTCCGTCACGGCCAACGAGCAAAGCAACTCGACTTCAGTCCTGACTCATAGCAGCCCTTCCGGCAGCATGACGGCCCCCGCTGCTCCGGACCGCACCAGCGCTGGAGTTGTCCTCAAGGCCTTCTCCGGAGTGGCCTTTGGCACGCTCGCCATGGCCATGGCTCTGTTCATGTAAAATGGTCAGATTTCATGTTGCATGCTCGAGAGAGACTAGTGACTTCTCACAGCCTCGCCATATATGTGGTACTTTTGATGGACCCTCCCGAATATTGAATCGGTTACTTGGCACAGGTTGAGTGGTGAAAAGCCCTGGAATTGCACGTTTGGGAAATTTTTTAATGGCATTCACAATGTGATAGGCGAACAGGAATAGATTTGCCCCATATTCCTCTTTACGTGTAGGCTTAACATGCTTCCGCAACAGTGATGACATGGACGTTGACCTGTGAATGCTAAACTCATCTCGCTCCCCCTTTTCCCCGCCTGCATCATAATCATGAAAAGAACAGCTAATTATGAGTCTTCTATTCACTTTCATGCCAAGACGATTGCCTATGAACTATTCCCGGGATATATAAACGCCCACGTACATAAAAAGACGACGCAACAATACGTGTACCTCTAAGCCTCAGCCGGATGACAGATGGGACAGCCCCCTCTCACCTTGTCTCTCAACAGCCTCGCCTTCATGACCTTCATGCCGACTGAATAGCGCCCTCCCTCCTCTGGCCCATGTCCGAGGTCGAGATCGACTTGCCTGCCTTTGTGCAGCATCTCGAGCAGATGGCTCACGTGGAAGGCGTGCCCGCACACGAACCCCATGAGGGCCTCCATCTCGTACTCCGTGAACGTCTCGAGGCACTTGGCGCACTGCCCGGGCCTGGGCGGCGCGCCCTCTGTCTTCTCGTCCTCGGCGACAGCAGCAGCAGCGTCCGCCTGCTCAATGACCTCGAACTTGATGCCCTTGCGCTGGCCCGTGCGGAGCTCGCTCTGGGCCGTGGCGACTTCGCTGCGCAGGACGGTGGCGACGCCCCAGCTGATGCTGTGCTGGAGCTCGTGCTCCTTCATCATGTGGATGAGGCCCTCCCTGAGGCCCTGGATCTCGAGGCCTTCGGGGATGCGGCGGACGAGCGTGATGGGGTTGATGGTCGTGCCGACTTGCTCGAGAAGGGCGCGGATGAAGCTGGGCTTGTCCATGCTGTAGTTGAGCAGGTCTTCCCACAGGTCGGGGTCGTCTTGTTCCTTGGCGAAGTCGATGGCCTTGTTGACGTCGTTGAGGCGGTCGATGATGAGGTAGAGCGCGCGCTTCATCTGGCCGGTTTTGGAGTACAGGTAGACTAATTCATCGTAGTATGAATATTGCTCGCATTCTTGGACGGCCTAGAGATATAAACACGGTGAGCGACTATTCAGAGGTAATAGACCAAACACAAGAGAGTGCGGTGACTGGTGACAAGAATGCATTACCTTTTCGAATCCATACGAAGTCGACGTCTTCAAAAACTCCATGAGAAGTGGTCTGTCATACATGGCAAATAACCGAACAGCCAGGTCCGCAAAGTTGTCCACGAGGGATTGGCTATCCTGGACCAGCCGTTCGATATTCTCACCAGTGTGCTCTGCGATTCCTTGGCCCCTCCACAGTGCACGCAGGTAGAAGAAGAGGTAGAGCTGGAGGTTCCTGGCCTGCAGCTGCTCCACGACGACTTCGGGCCGTACAAGGCCGTGCTGAGCCTCGTCGACCAAGAGAGTGATGGCTTCGCTGGTTGCTGCCACAAGCTCATGCTCCGTCATGTGCTTGAGTTGATCGGGGGAGACTCGGAGTCCGATGAAGGCGGGAATGTCATCTGCCACGGCGTCCGCGAGGTGGTAATCACCAATCAGCCGGAAAGCCGAGTCCGCGTCTTGAAGCCTGATGTAGCACCTCAGCGCGTCGCGCTGCCGTCCGCCAGCTTCGTACAGCTTGGCCAGGCTTTCCACGACAATTCGCCAATCTCGCCCCCTTTCGCCGTCCTCGACGCTGTTCTCACGAACATCACGGTACTTGAGCTGATTCTCAAGCGTCGTCGTGATGGCAGGGATATCGAAGAGATCGGTTGGCCAGGTGTCTATCAGCTCTCTGAATCGAGGCTTGTTGTTCTGTATGTAATGGCCCAAAAGCACCTCGTACAAGGTCGTCGGCAACGGTGGCTTCATCGGCTTGGTGGGCATGTGCTTGGTGATCTCGTCAAACTTGTTGGCGCCTGCAAACGTCCACACCCACTTCTCCCATCGGTCGGGAGTCGTGAGAACCTTGCCACAGACTTCGCCAGCCTTTTCCCAGTCGCCCTCGTCAATCAATTCTCGAATCCATAGCTCTCCGATTCGTCTCTTCTCCTTTTCCACAGCAGAATATAGATCCCTCTGAGTCGTGTCTGCCACGGATTCATCATCGAAGAAGTCGTCCGCCCCAGAGGGATGTTTGGATGGGGTAGAAGGTACTCCCGAGTCTGCAACGCCATCGAACGACTCGGCCAGGATATCTGGGTTCTCGTCGAGAAGTTCCCATGCCTGTTGGTATTGCTCGCGCTCCACGAGCCAAGTAAGGTGATCAGAAAGGTCTCTCTTAGTGGCCAAGACGCAGTCATACGGACTGTGGATGAATATCTTGACTCCTGGTTTGGAAAGCGTAGGGTGTACGGTAGGAATTCTGGCCCTCATGGGGCTTGACCGGATGGTACCTGCAATGCTGCCGGCTTTTGAGACGGAAGCATTGTCGTCGCTCTCCCTGCTAAGGATGCTGGCGCCTGAGCTGAAGAGGGCCTTTGGATTGATGGCGACATTCCACATTTCCGATCCAATGCCGGCAAGTGCCTCCAAGGCGCTTTTTGTCGAAGCCACTACAGAGGCCGCATTTCGAGCAGGTAAGAGACACATGTGATAGTCGGCAGCAGATAGTCTATCGACGCGATTGATGGCAAGGCTGTGCCGGTCTACCTCCGCCTGAGACTTGAGATCTATCAACCTCAGCTCTGGTGGCAGAGCGTTCAGGCGCTGCCGTTGACCACGGTGCTGTTCATGTTCCACAGAAGATGTGGACTGCTTAGACTTGTGCTGCTTAGATGTGTCGTCCTCTGCGGCATCATCTTCATCCTCTGGAGAGCAGAATGCTAACACGAGCAGCTGATTCTGAGCATATAGCGAGATTCCAGAGATGATGCAGTCGATATGGAGTCTGTTGGGTTGTTAATATCGCACAGCGTATACTCTTCAAGTGCTTGTAGGAAAGGGGAGGGCGACTCACATCTTGGCAATCTCAGCCCGCGCAATGGTCTTCTCACCAGCTTGTCGACCATGGCCGACACCCCCTGGATGAACATGGATAATCCACATTGTTCCTCCCCAGCCGACCAGCAGTCTTTCAACGCTCTTTGTGCTGGGGATGGTGGGAGAAGCAGCGGGATCATGAGGGCTGCTCTGCTCCGACTCATCACTTTCGACCAATTTCTCGTCGATCCACTCAGCACGGCCTTTCCAGACACCAGCCATCGTTTCCCATTCGCTCGTGTGCGGCCTGTCGACATGGCCGATTCTCTTCCAAGCGTCTTCAAGTTCGGTGCTATCGAGATGAAGCTTGGATCTCATAATCTTGGTGCCGTGCTCATTGAGCCATGCAACGTATTTCCCCGAGAGTGACCATTTGATGGTGTTGATGATTCCCTCACCCGAATGGAGCACCGTGTCCTTTCCTCCGCTGTTCTTGACGCCTATGGTAGAGAGCCAGTCCGAGGCCACGGCGGCTGCAGTACCAACCGTGTTCGAGGTACTTCGACCGGGGCCGCCGCCTACTGTAAGGATGAGCTGTCCTGCTCGCCCGCCAGATAGATAGGTCCGATCTGACTTGTAGTCTGGTGACAGGGCAACGGCTTGCACGGGCCTGGCAAAGTTTCGAAGCTGGACATCCTTCAGGTCGACCAACGACTGCACGCAGACATTGCCGTCCATTGACGACGTAGCAATGTAGATGTCGTTCGATGGTGTTCGGGGCACCTGCGGGACCTCCCTCATCCTTCTCGATGCCGCCGAGGGAGACATTTCAGGTGGCCTCGTCGCGGCTCCCGCCAGTCCAGTCTGTGTTCGTTGTATCATTTCGACCTTCTCTTCTGGGAGAGGGGGGGGAAAGGGCGATATCGAAATCGCAGTGACGGAAGCCGAGTGTGCATGGTATACTCGCAGAGTGTTGAATCCGGGCAATTGGATAACATGCTGAAGCCGCCAATTAGCCACATGAGCTGCGGATATGGTTTCTTGCAGTTACTTACGATGTTGCCGTTATGCGTACCGATAATCTGTGCACGAGTTCAGTTAGGATGAGTGTCTGGCTTGTGCAGAAGCAAGTGTGGGTATGGCCCGTACCATCTTGTCGCCTGCGACGAGACACGCGCTGGTCGCATCGCCGTTGCGATAGACAGCGCCGAGGTGTTGGGTCAGCCTCGTAGATTTCAACTGCGGCTCCTCGTCATCGTCGTCATCGTCCTCGTCGTCGTCCTCTTCGTCTCCGTCTTCCTCCTCCTCTTCATCGTCGTCATCATCCTCCTCCTCCTCGTCATCCTCCTCTTCCTCCTCTTCTTCTTCCTCGTCGTCTCTCTTTGGTTCCTTAGCTTTGTCCTTGTCTTTATCATCGTCGTCGGCAACGTTCCCCCCACCCTCTCCCTCGCCGTCCACCTCGCCATCTCCGTCACCGCCATCTCTCCCACTCGCACCCTCCCCAACGCCCTTCTCCGCCCCTTCAGCCGGCCCGTCCTCCGCCTTCTCCCCGCCTAGAACCCTCCTCGGAGGAGAGCGTGCCGGGGACTGCACATTGCTCCGATCGTGCGCCTCGTCGGCCGCCGGGGCGCTGTCGCCCTGCGCATCAGGCGCGGGCAGAGCTGCTTCGGGAGCTTCAGACTGCGGCTGCTGCTGCTGGCCGTCGAGCGGCTGAGGCGACGGTCCTGTCATGATGGCGGTAGAGCAAGTGTCATTCTGGATCTCCGCGGGATCCTCCTCGTTAGGACGCGGGCCCTTTTGCAGCCTGCAGATGGAAAAGTGGAAAGCCGAGGGCAGGGCAATGCGGTGACGATGGCGGGTGATGCTGATGATGATGCCGCTAGAATTGGATCAAATGCCAATCAATGCAGGTCCTCCGCAGTTTGGGTACCTGAAGCAAGCTGTGCCGCAGCCCGAGCTAAAGGTGCCTGTAGCAGCTTATCCGATACGTCACAGCCTGGGGAGCTTTTGCAGGGAGCTCCAGCTCTAGTACTACCTTACTTGTCTGGTACTATACCATACGCGTACCGCCGCTAACACCACCTCACCATACTAAGCTCATCAGCCAGTATAAGAGCAGCTCTACTCATTGCTGTAAACACATAGCAGATGCATATGGCACCGGAAAATCAAAGCAAGTGTAAAGCATACGACACTCTTTACTCTATTCGTAGATGTCATTGGTATTCCTAACGCTATTCATAGTCCATCATAACTGGAAATCAAACCGTCCCAAGCCTAGGTATTACGCCCATTCATTGTTCATGCTGCCGGGCTGCCATCCATGCCTTTCCCTTCAGCGCCTCAATAGCACTGTCCCTCATCCACCACACACCCTCCCCTTCGTCCTCCGTCTCTTCATGCTGTGCGGGAGCATCCTCGGCAGCCGTCGATTCGTCCTGAGATTTTGCCGCCTTGATGGTGCTCTGACTATCAGTCATGGCCGAGGAGGACTGCCGGAGATTCTCTCGAGCATCACCCCATGCAAAGAGCATCCTTGCTTCTTCGAGGCGCTCTCTGTCGCCGCCTTCCTCGATTCCTCGCTCCAATTCCAGTCTTGCATCCACGGCGCTTCCGATACCGCCTTGCTCTTCGTCACCGGTATCCAACAGGGCTGCCTTCTCTGCATAGCTCAGGTCTCGCAAAGCATCCAGGTTGAGGACCCATTCTAGGGGATTTTCACCCGAGCCCTGCTCACCGAGAGCTCTTAGAGTGGATGTAAAAGTTCCTTCTCGGGGCGGCCTCCTTCGAAGGTAGAGGCTCTGTGTCTGCGCAAAGGATTTCCTGAGCTCTTCGTTCGAAAAGTCAAGTTCAACATCCCAGAACTGCGGGCCCCCAGCTGTGGTCACGCTCGAGATTTGATCAAGAGGGGGTAGTAGACACGGCGTCGTTCTGTAGAGCACCGATTCAATCGAAGAGCCGCCTCGCATCTTGATATGTACCGGTACAGAAACCGGTTGCCCTGTGAGCGCATCTTTGGCGACGAGACAGCGCTGTTCGGCTGCCAGGACCCAGAAGTGCCGAAACGCCTGAAGATGAGACCGGTTGTCCATAACATTGACCGGGAAAATCGGGTAGAAGGCGACTAGCAATGCGGCAATCGCCTTGTTACTAGACCCAAAGGTCGCGGTGCCGCAGCCAAGGAAGAGCGCTCCGATCGCTAGATGGGCTGCGAGATGTGACCCGTAGGGCGTATCAGGGTCGTCTCTTCCATGCAGAGCGCGGAGTCGACGGAGGACAGGGATATCGCCTGTGCCAGCCATGACAATGGAGCAGGAAACCGCGAGAATGTCCTGGCACATTCGAGCATTGGTTCTGGCCAGCTCTTCATCGTAGAGCGGAGCGGCATCCGGGTGCAGTCTAGGCGTCGCAGGAAGCCCGGCGATGCGCATGAACTGATCTAGGTAGTGCAATAGTAGGTCTCTTACCTTGGGAGAGGCGCTTCCGGAGAAACGTAGAGCAATAGCAAAGCAGAGACCTGTCAGGATGCTGAAGAAGGGCAAATCGGACGATCTCAGCTTGGTCGTGTTTTGCAGCTTGTGCCGTGAGCGGTAGGGTGCAGGAAGGCTTTTCTGCACCCAGGTAAACGTAGGTTCAATTTGGGACCATAGAATGAGATTCCTCGTCATGGTCCGTAGAAGTAGAATGTCGGGGCGAACATAGTCAAATTGAAGCACCGATTCCGGAATGTCAATTTTGCGTGCCACGATTTGATCCTCTGATTTCATGAAGATAAGTGCAATGGCCATGACCGCGCCGGCTGAGGCCCGATCCAGAACATGCACAATCTCGACATTCTTCGTTGCTGTAGCATGCGTGATGAGTTTCTCGGTGAGACGCATGTCTTGCAAGCCTTTCAGGTCGTTTCCTTTACCAAGATTGATGAAGCCAAGTGCAAACCCGGCAGCAAGGCGGTAGCATTCGCTCCTCAGCGGCTCCTCTTCATCTTCGTCATCTACATGCTCAATCTCTGAGAGCATGATCTCGCTCATACGTCGATGCTGGCTACCACAGTACAGGAGGCCGATGCCCATAATGCCAGACGTTTGGGTGAGGGGTGACAGATTGAGCTCCGCCGCTCCCCGCGGAAGCATGCGGGTGGCGTGGACAGAGAGCAGGCGGGTTATCAGGGAGTCCATGGTCCCCATATATGACGCGGCGAGGCCAAGCAGCAGGCCGATCGAGGTCATCGTATGCTTTGGCGTGAGGTATTTGAAAGCAACCCACTTTGCAACGCCCTTGAGGTGCCCATTCAGCCCAAGCGCGAGCAAGAATCCTGCATGCCGGTTGCTCAAATCCTGCCCTGGTTTGTTGTAGAGAATCCATGAAGTATCAATGCCCTTTGCCAACGGCGAAATTGCCAATCCCGCTGCGACGCCTTGATGGAAAAAGCCCCAGCAAACCTTCTCCTCCGTGAAGAGCGTCTTGTCCACGCCCACGGTGACGTTGTTGGGCTTTACAACGCAATTTAGATTGAAACCTCCAATGTGGAATTTCTGCGTGATGAGAGGGAAGCGTAGACTGTAGTACAGAAGCCCTCTCCCCGCTGGAATAGCCAAGGTTCCGGTGGCAATCCTAGAAACCAACTCCTTCTGCTTCTCCAGGTATTCGCTTTCGGGCAAACCTGCATCTTGAGGCAAGGTCACGATCCTGGGCTTGTGCGTTGCCAGCAAGTCTCGAGCTTCTTGGAGGCGGCGGTCATCCCTAAAGAGCGCGCGGATCACAGATTGCCGCTCCGTCCCTTCGCCTTCGTCATAGCCCTGGCTATTCGTTTGCTCAAGGCTCTCACAGAGCAGCTTGAATTCCCAGCTTGCAGTGTGTGTGGGCGTCTAATTCTGCTGTCAGTAATACAACGTAAATTCCCGGATGTGCCACTACTCACCAAGATATTTGACATTGCCGGACGCGGACGCTTGTTCGAGGTAAGAACCAGGCTGATATCAGTCCGCTTTACAAATTCCAGCATCTCTTCGGGCCAGGACGAAGGTGGGTGAGGTTGGCAGAGTGCTATAGCATCCCGAAGAGGTACCAAGATAGCTTCTGGAAGGGTGTCGAGCACATGGTTCGTTAAGCCGCAGTCTTTCATAGCCTCCACCATCTGCACCGCCGAAGAGTTTGGCTGCACAAGCCTGAAGAAGCGCCTGAACGTGAGAGTTCGAGGAAGAATAGAGTCCCAGCGGCGGTCAAACAGTTTCTCGGATTCGGATAACTGTGCAGCGGCATAGAATATGTCTGCTGGAATGGGGTATTGTTGGCTGCGGAGGCCTGAAAACCGAGACTGAATCCATTCGAGTATATCTGGTCTGTCAGGCGGTTCAGGGATAGCTGGCTTTAGGCGTATTTCTGAAGCAAGGATCAATTGACTGAAAGCCTAGAGCCAGGAGAAGAGAAGAGTGGGAGCCATACCTTGATCGTGACGTGGGTCGAGGTCTTCCTGTATCCCTAGGTCATAGAATGATGAAAAATTAGGCCACTTCAGCCATCGAGCAATTTGGCATAAGATCACACGAAAGTCGGCTCGACCAGAAGGTAGATACTCGGCAGACATGATATCGAGCTTTTGTTCCTCCAAAAGCAGGTGGAGAGCCATGAAAATGTCAACGGCAGCCTTTCGGCTGTAGTCAGAGTTTCGACCTAGAGAAGTCGGGAGATAGCCGGAGGGTCCTAAGGCATTGGTACCGAGTGAGGAGCTCATGTATTCTTTGGCCAAGACGATATGCCTAGAAATGAACTTTGTGCCCAGGCCGGGTGTGCCGCTTTGGGTTGTCGTTTCCTCCACATCGTCGTCGAGAACCCATTGCCACCCGCGGTTGAGCATCCACGCCGGACACCCGAGAGAGTTGGCTGCCTCTCCCATCTCAAGGGCTTTCCAGTCATCAGAATCACGAATAGACCCGAATGAGCCGGACGGTATCCTTCGCTTCCGAACCGTGAGTCGGTCTGAGGGAGGATTCCGAAGCTCGGGCCGATCGAGGTTCAAGAATAGTGCTAGAAGAAGAATGGCCAAGGCAGACCATTCTACGTTGGGATCGGCTCTGCCTTGACTGTAGAGCCATTGCATGACGTGAAGCCATCCTGTGTGAATACGCTCTCCCAGCGAGTCAGGCAGGACGCTTCTGCAGACGTTGAGAATAGCAGACACAGATCTCGATGACGGACGTAGCTGGATTTTCAGCTGATGGAGGCGCCCTTGAGTGTCCACCACGTCGACAACGCCACGATGCCTGGAATGGCAAACGCCTACAATGCTGCCGTTGGTGAGGTCTATAATCTCGCTCTTCCGCTGCCTGACGTCCCTGTCGACTGCCCTTCCCCGGAATTGCAGACTCTTGGTGTCGTCCACAAAAAGGAGCGAAAGAGATATTTTGGTCATCTCACTCCATGGTGCTTGTATGCTCAACTCATGCCGTCCATCCTTGGATTCCGACAGAACAAGGACAGCAGATTGGTCTCCATCAATGATTTTGCACGAGTCGACCACATGCTCTCCCCTTCGCAATTCTCCCGGTAGAACCGAGACGGCGAATATCGACGATGGCTCCCTTTTGCCGGAGGTCACCGCACCATCGGACTTTTGCTGTAGCTTGAGCGAGAGGGAAACATAATGTAGGCGTTTCTCCAGTACTTCTTGAATGCCTATCAACAACTGGCCAGTCTGGTGATCATTCGTCGCAAAAGGGGGCGCGGCAAGAACAAAAATCTTGGTTTGGCCCCGGGAGTT